GAAACAGGGGAGGCACAAAAGGAGGGATAGACTTTTAATACATTCAGCTATACCCTTCCAAAAAAGGTCTTAGTGCATAAAGAATACAAGCCTGGACTATACCTCCTTTTACTATTGACAGGGATTGCTTTAAAAATATGTATCAGAATATTAGTAACAGGTCCTGGCTTTGTCTCACTCATTCCCAAAATTTGAGATCTGGGTTGCTATTCAAGTGGTTGTGATCTTAAAAGCTAAAATCCTCACAATCTCAAATTTTCCCCAATTGCATGTGGCATAGCCATACCAGAGAACTCACATGATTCCACCAATTATCTCAATTCTCTCCAGGAGTAGCATACACATTAACACAGAGATGAGAATAAATAAAAGACTTTTTCTGATATAGTTCTACATACTTCTAAAGGAACTTAAAGTTAATGTGTCAAATATTCCAAAAAACATAACTCTTAGTTTCTAGATGTCCAACGCGCTATCCATTGCGCCACGGAGCCACCTAACTCTTAGTTTCTAGATCCAAAGACAGCTCACCTAAAACTCAAACCTTAGAGGATATCCAAACTAGGAAAACTTAGATGTCTATTTTGCTATGTAAAATCAGTCCAGAGTAAAAAAAAAAAAAAAAGGCCTGTATCAGTCCTTAAAAAGGAATCATCATGGTTCGTTTAAAATCTGCCTTGCCATGTATAGCTAAATTTATTAATATTTTGGTACAAAAACAATTTGTTCTCTTCAAGACTCTGACAAGAAGCTACAGATAATTAGCAAGAACAGGTAATACCCTCGAGGGATGTCTGACTGCCTGGTGGGATCGGGCCTAAGAAGCAGTGGGACAACCCTCTCACAATCCAGGACTGCAGCATCCCAACCGCTCGCCTGCCTGCCTGCCTGCCTGCCTGCCTGCCTGCCTGCTAATCACCCCTTAACTACTCCCCCGCCAGCCTAATCGATGCCTAACTGCTCCCCTGCCGGCCCAATTATCCGTAACTGCCCTCCCCTGCTGGCCCAGTCACTCCTAACTTCCCTCCCTTGCCGCCTGGTCGCCTCTAATTGCCCTATTCTGCTGACCTGGTGGCTCCTAACTGTCCTCCCCTACAGGCCTGGTTGCCCCCAATTGCCCTCCTCTGCAGGCCTGGTCACCCCCAACTGTCCTCCCCTGCATTTCTGGTTGTCCCCAAATGTCCTCCCCTGCAGGGCTGGACACCTCTAACTTCCCATCCTTGCCAGTCTGGTCACCTCTAACTACCCTCTCCTGCCAGCCCGATTGCCCCTAACTGCCCTCCCCTGCTGACCTGGTCACCCCCAACTACCCTCTGCTGCAGGTTTGGTCATCCCCAATTGCCCTCCTTTGCCAGCCTGATTGCCCCCAACTGCCCTCCCTTGCAGGCCTGGTCCCTCCTAAATGCCTTCCCCTGTCAGCCATCCTGTGGTGGCCATCTTGTGTCCACATGAAGGTGGCCCTCTTGTGTGTTGGAGTGATGGTCAATTTGCATATTACCTCTTCATTATATAGGACAAGCAGTGATAAAATATTATTTGATGGTATACTTTATTAAAGATATATTATCAATGCTAATTGATAATTAGCTAAAACAAAGCTGTATAGATAATAAGGTAATTGTAGAGATAAAACAAAATATTTTTTAAAACTCAATCTAAATTTTAAAAAGAGCATAAAAAAATTAGGATAAGAAATAAATAGCAAAATGGCGGATTTAAACCAAACCCCATCAGTAATTACTAAAATATAGTCTAACGTATTCAGAGCATATGAAGAACTCTCATAACTCAACAATAAAAAGACAACCCAACTTAAAAATGGGCAAGTAATTTTTTTTAATACATTTTTTATTGCTGATAGTATTACAGATGTCTCCTGTATCCCCTACCCCCGTATCCATTTCCTCCGGGACCCTACCTTGACCCGCACCCCCCCACCATGTCTTCACCACCCTATTGCCCAGGTCCATGGGCTATGCATTTAAGTATATACGTTCTTTGGTTTATAATTTGAATAGACATTTCTCCAAAGAAGATTTACAAATGGTCAATAAACCCATGAACATATTTTCACCATAATTAGCCTTCAAGGAAATGAAAATCAAAACCACAATGAGGTACCACCGCACATTCACGATAATAATTATAATTGGAAAAAACAGACCATGACGTGTCAAAAGGGTATTGAGAAATTAGAATCCTCATATATTATTGGCAAGAATGTAAAATGGTGCAATGTTAGATATAATTTGGCCACTCCTCAAAATGTTAAACAGAGTTATCATAACCCAGCAAATTCATTCATATAGCCAAGAGAATTAAAAACTTGTCCACACAAAAACTTGTCCACAAATATTTATTGCAGCATTATTCATAATAGCCAAAAAGTAGAAATAATCAAAATGTCTATTAATTGGCAAATGGATAAACAAAATGTGATATAGCCATAAAATGCAATATCATCTAAATACTGTATATAAAAGGCTAAGTGACCAACTGCATGTACGTCCAATTGGCTGTACATGACGCTCACTGGCAATTTAAAAATAAACGTTGACTAGTGTATGCGCAATACATATAAAGCTCTCACTGGCACCAATAGCACACATGCATTTCGATATGTCATTGTTGATCATGAATTTGGTTGACACTTCCATTACAGAAAGAGGGCAAATAGAGATATTCAAATATTTCTTCTAATTAATGTTCTTTCAATGTGCACAAATCCGTGCACTGGGCCACTAGTTTAGTAATAAAAAGGAATGAGTACTAATATTACATATGATACAACATGTATCCACCTTTGCAGTGTGAGAGATGGAGAGACTATGCATAGAGTTTGAAGTTGTTAAGGAGAAAAGGTTAGGGGGGGCAGAAAATATGGCCTGGTGGAGTTCCCCCAGTGCAAGGCAGTAAATATACAGTAGACTGTACCCATTATATGCTACTCACATGGTAGGGATCCTTCATGCAATTACCAGAATTACCAGAACAGTGAGAGTAGGCAAAAAAAAAAAAAAAAAAAAAAAAAAAAAAAAAAAAAGAGGGATGGAAAAATGATCGTGAATCATTAGTGCCAGCCTACCTCAGACCACAGTTCTCACCTTACTACTTATGGAAACCCTCTGAGCACTGAGCACATTATCCCAGCTTTCCTGTGCAGGAAGAAGTAATGAAGGGTGCTGACAACCAGGATGCAGGAGAACAAGCTAGGCCTGTGAGACAGAATATGTACTGGGGTTATAGTACATGATTCCTCAGGGACCCTCCTCACCAAAGACAGCACAGAGGACAGCAATACAGAGGAGAAGGAAAATCAAGGAGATGAGACCCAAGGTCAGCATCCACCTCAATATCCGTACCACCGCAACTTCAATTACTTTACAGATGCCCAGAAAAACCTAAATCACAACATGGCAAAGAGACAAAAGCAGCTAATTCACCTGCTGAGAATTTGTTTGTCTGAGGCTGAGCAGGGCCCAGCCTGAGTAAAGGTCAGCTTACTGCCTTTACCATCATCCAGTTTAGTTGTCCAAAAAGAAGAAATGAATATAAAATTCCAGCAATAAGAAATGAACAAAATATTGGAGCTAAAGACCGATAAGCAAAACTATCTTCATTATCTAGTCAGTTTGGGGGGGGTTTACATTATCCACATCTGTTTGGATAAAGACAAATAGTGAGTTGTTTTCTTTAAGCCTGGTGTTTCTCAGTATACCTTTAAAGGTTTTCAATTGTTTCATATCTGGTCAAGTTGAGATTTTTAAAAATCTCATTTTTAATTTGTAATCAAAGTTTATAACAGTTGTGTGTTTTGTTTTTAATATATTTTATTGATTTTTTACAGAGAGGAAGGGAAAGGGATAGAAAGAAATATTGATCAGCTGCCTCCTTCACACCCCCCACTTGGGATGTGCCCACAACCAAGGTACATGCCCTTGACCAGAATCAAACCTGGGACCCTTCAGTCCACAGGCCCACGCTCTATCCACTGAGCCCAACCAGTTAGGGCCTATTGTGTGTGTGTGTGTGTGTGTGTGTGTGTGTGTGTGTGTTTAAATATATTTTATTGATTTTTCACAGAGAGGAAGAGAGAGGGATAGACAGTCAGAAACATCAATGAGAGAGAATCATGATCAGCTGCCTCCTGCACACCCACTACTGAGGATGTGCCCGCAACCAAGGTACATGCTCTTAACCGGAATCGAACCCGGGATCCTTGAGTCTGCAGGCCGATGCTCTATCCACCGAGCCAAATCGGTTTTGGCTATTGTATGTGTTTTTTAAGTCAACCATTATGTTATGATTTGTATTAATAAATGTGTATTTGGGCTTTGTCCTCTTTTCTGGTAAAAATAAAATAAAAAAAGAATAGATAATAATATGTATCTTTAAATGGAAAATCCATGTCAGGGAAGCTGCAGCACAAGACACTGTTCCTTAAAGAAGGTTATTGGGTAAACTATGAAGCAGACACCAAGCAGGGGATGAGAGCAAAGGCTAGCATAGTAAATTTAGTCTTTGCTAATAGAAATGAAAAGCATTCTTTTCCTAGAAAGGAGAGAGTTGTTAAGAGTAAAATGTTCAAATTTTAGAAGATTAGGGGGTAAGTAAAATCAGAGTATCCTAACGCAGGCTATCGATGGCCATGAGCTGAAAATAAAACCAGGTAAAACCTAGAGCTACAGTGTCCAATGTGGTAGCCACTAGCCGTAAGTGGCTACTGAATTTAAGTTAAAATAAAATTTAAAATTCAGCTCCTTGGTCACACTTGCCATATTCTAAGTACTCAATAGACACATGTAGCTAGTGGCTACTTTGTTGCGTTGGACAGCATAGGTAATACAGAATACTTCCATGACAGAAGGAAATTCTATTGCATAGTACTGATCTAAAGGGTAAGGGAAGGAGACTAATAGATTGAGGGTCTGAAATAAAAGCAACTACTAACAAGGGCATTTTATCCTACAGTTCTTTATTAATGGATCAGGTGTATTTACCTTTCCTTTTCCACCTGTTCTTTTTTCCCTCCTTGTTGCTTCCATCACTGCTGCTGCTGCTGTTCTCAGAACTCTGGGAATCTGACTGACCATCACTGCTTTCTTCTGAACCTTCTGATAGCTCTTTCACCCCATCCGGCACATCTTTCTGAAAATGTAGGCATCCAATTAGGATTAATCATTACCAATTCAGCAATAAGAATTAAGTATTTGATACCCATTGTTGCAACTCAACTGGGTTGATTAATTTTTTTGTATTAAAGAATTCAACAGAACTAACAATATTTTCTGAATCCTGGTCATCTCTCTTTTTTGGATTAAAGTAGCTAAATGTTTTAATCTATATCCAAAGGTAAAAATTGTACATGCCAATCATATGTAGGCACAACAGAGACTTAAATTATATATATATATATGTATATGTATGTATGTATATCAGATAAATATTATTTCAGGTTAAAAAAAACCTTTTAATAAAAATGTTATAAAGCATGTGTGCATGCATCAGCCATGTCATATATATTTGTGTATATATTAGTACCATTTTGTATTGTGAATTCAATCAAGAGTCTGGGAAGCAAAAGATAGTCCATTATTTGAATCTAATTGTTTCCCAAATATTGGTTAGTAACTATCAAGAATCAAATACAATTTTTTTTTTTTTTAAATCACATGAATGTTTGGTTTCTACACTAAATTTTGAAAATGCCAGTCAGAAAGGAAACCTGTGAGAGATAAAATATGACAGTTGTAAGATCAACAACTAGGAAATTAAGACTTTCTGGGTTTGAATTCTGGCTTTATCTTCTCCTAACTATGTACTCTTCATCAAAATCTTAACCTCTTATGCTTCAGTTTCCCTGTCTATAAGACAAGGAATAACAGTACCTTCCTTAAAAGATCACTCTGAAATTAAATGAGTTAATAAATGAAAAACTGTGCCTGGCATATGATAAGAGCTCAATAAATATTAGCTATTATAAATTTACATCATATATAAAAATATACATATATAACTAATGTTATTTCTAAGTTATAAAATTACATACAGATGGTTCTTTTTCCTCTCAACATTTTTATTTTCCCATATAATTTATTATTCTAGTCAGAATTCTGACATTAACCCACCTAATCTACAATTGATACTTAAAAACTCTGATCTAGTAAAGAACTGCTCTTCTCCACTTATGTTTATACCCTAATGCCATTTCTCATGTTATACAATTCATTAAAATACCCTGTATTTTTCTATTCTTACCTTCAAAATGCAGGACAACTTTTACAGAGTTAGTTGTCAGCCATAACTCTTGACTTGCAGGTTCAGCAAGTATTTTAAATTCAAATATAACTAACTTCTTTGCCTCCATCTCTTTCACTACTTTTGCATTTCAGGCCAATTATTTCTTTCAAACAATCATAAACATATTTTTTACAAATTTTCCTGGTTTACCCTTAAACATACCCTACCTAATTATCGTCCTAAACTAGAGGCCTGGTGCATGAAATTTGTGCACGAGGGTGGGGTGGTCCTCAGCCCAGCCTGCACCCTCTCCAATCCGGGACCATTCGGGGGATGTCCGACTGTCTCTCACAAGCTGGCTCCTAACCACTCTCCTGCCTGCCTTCCTGATCACTCCTAACCACCTCTGCCTGCCTGATTGCCCCTAACTGCTCCCCTGCTGGCCTGACACCTCTAACCACCTCTGCCTCGCCCCACACCCAGGACCCAGGATTCCCTCCTCTGGCCGGCTGCAGGTATTGGGAACCTGGGCTTCCATCCCTTTGGCCAGTCACAGGTCCAGAATCCAGGCCGGCCACAACTGCAGAGGATCGTGAGGCAGGTAGCTTATTCCTCTCCTGGGGCCCTGGCTGGTCCCCAATTCCTCTCTCACAAGCTCATTTGTGCCTGGCTGTCCCCATTCTTCTCTAGCTAGCTCATTTGTACCTGGCTCTATAATAAAGAGCTAATATGCAAATAGCCCTTACACCCTTGCTCTGGAACTGCTCAGACACTCCACACCAGGGAGAGTGAGCAGTTCCAGAGCAAGGGTGTGAGGGCCATTTGCATATTAGCTCTTTATTATATAGGAAGATATGGAATTGATCATGATATTCTCTTGAAAAAAATTCTGCCTTCTTAACACACATACTCACCTCACCTCCCTGCCCCTTCCCTTTCTCTAACTACGCAGGTTTTCAAAAGCCTCCAAAGTCTAATCAATACCTAACATTTACCCCACCCCTAACTCCTATCACATTAGTCCACACACAGATTATGGTCTAACCACTCCGATGTACTCTACTTTCAAATCCATTCTAAATCGTCCTAGCTGTGCTTTTGCTTTAGCTATTCCCTTGTCCTGGAAGGTCCTCTCTATAATACATTACTTATCTGACAAAGTTCAACTCAAATCTTACAAGTTTAAAAAACAACAAACACACAAAAACTTTGATTCCTTTATTCAAAATTAATCTTTATATCATCACAGTACTTTATAGTAGTACAGCATACTTTATGTCACAGTTAAATTTTGCCAATGTACAATTATTTCAATAACTATGTGAACTTCAAGAGCTCAGGGATCACAGTTTATCCTTCTTTATTGTCTCTACAGTGTCCAGCACGGAGTACATTATTAACAATATAGAAAGTCTAGAACACTAAAACCTAAAAGAAATGCCAACAACTCCATATGGTACTATAACCCTATAATCCCAGAAAGTTAACAAAGTGTATAAAAAGGAGGTATTATAGGTAAATTAGATCTTTTTCATGTTAATGGGCTATGTACAACCACTGAGCATACTATGATTAAGCATAAAGTTTAGGAGATAAGAGGAATACACACATGAGCCAAGCCATACTAATTAAATAATTAAACCAAATCAAAACTAACTGAAGTCTCCTGCTTTAGTTCCTGAGACTATTTCTCCAGACTTACAGCCTTCAGAGTGGAGTCATGTACAAAGAGGAAAGTGCCTGCCTGAGAGTGAAGCCAAAATAAAGTGAAGAGATCTGATAACATCCCTGTTATCAACTGTTACCAATCCCTGATATCATTTGAGCTTCTGAATCAAGGTTGAGTTTCCCTAGAATTTTCAGTTATCTAAACTAATAAATTCTGTTTTATTCAAACTATTCTGTATTACTCAAGTTCATTCAGAAAGGACACGGACAGGTCAAGGTTCCTTCTCAAGTACAGGAATTAAAAATTATGAAACCTGCTATGGTAAAAAGAACTTGGACTTAGAAATTCAGTCAGATCCTGGTTCTGATTCTAATGGCATTTGGCCAATAAGAAAATCCAATCTTCTGAACTTTGGCTTTCTCCATTATAATAATAACCATAAGTCTAAATTGTAATGGAGAACTAAATGAGAAGGTACTACAACACATCAAGGCTGTATCACTTGTTATTTAAATATGAGGCCTTGAAAAAGTTTCTGGAAGACATTTTTATTTCATCCTTTAAAGATAATATTATCATAAACAATAAAAAATATATTGATTTCTCTTCTCTGATTTACCTAAATGGTTACAGATTAGTAAAAAGAAAATAGTTTGAATATAGGGTAAAAAATATTACCTCTTGCTGAAACCGGTTTGGCTCAATGGATAGAGCATCGGCCTGCAGACTGAAAGGTCCCAGGTTTGATTCCGGTCAAGGGCATGTACCGTGGTTGCGGGCACATCCCCAGTGGGGGGGGTGCAAAAGGCAGCTAATCGATGATTCTCTCTCATTGATGTTTCTAATTCTCTATCCCTCTCTCCTCCTCTCTGTAAAAAAAAAAAATCAAAATATATTTTTGGAAAAAAAAATATTACCTCTTCAAAAACAGAATTCTGTCCTCTATGATGCAATTATTATTTATATGTAGTCACTTTATGATTTCCTTTTTAAATGACTCCAGAAATATTTACCTTCAAAGTATATACTCCCATTCTGCCTGGAACCTTATAGAAGATGCCCTCTTCACCTCGGGAGTTTGTGTGCAGCATTGCGTTCAGGCATGCAAGGGGGGAAGTCCCACTGCAAAAAAAAACACAATGATTAGTGTCTATCTCTGAATATCCAATGTAACACATGCGTAAGATAAAATTACCAGGTCAACACTCATTTGATACAAACACATTTTATAAACTATAAAAAGTCCATAATCTACTGAGAGGCTAGAACAGAGAAAATGAATGTAGAGGTTCGTTCTCGTATTATCTAAACAAAAAAAAATAATTCCTTACGTTTCTTAATCCTTGTCAGTATTTAACAATTAAGCCAAGAAAAACTTATCTCAGGAGAGTATCGCAAATAATGTGTAAAGGTTCTATTTCACTTAAATTTCTGTCAATTATAGCTCACCAAAGCTGAATTCTTTCTAAAAGACACTTTCATTTAGCACAAACTTATATATTGTGCTAATTTCTTATATCTGGACCTATTATGAGATCACTTAAAAGTAGGCTTATAGGTATGTCTGAGAAATGTTTTTTTTTTTCCTAAAATTTATTTTTATTTTATTTTTTTCCATCACCATATATTCCCTTTATGCCCCCTTCCATCTCTACCTATACTCCTGCCCTTTGCAATCACTTTTGTCCATGTCCATGAGTTCTCTCTTTCTATTTTGCTGTTCTTCCACTACCACGAGTTGTCTGCTTGCTCTCTATGAGTCTGTTTCTATTTTGCTTGGTAGTTCAGTTTGTTAATTAAATTCTACATATGAGTGAAATCATATGGTTCTTGTCTTTCTCTGACGGGCTTATTTCACTTAGCATAATGTTCTCTAGGTTTATCCATGCTGTCAAAAGGGTAAATTTATTTTTTTTGAGAGTAGTATTCAATTATGTAAGTGTACCCGGCTTTGTCATCCACTCATCTATTAATGGATACTTGGGCTGTTTCCAAATATAGGCTGTTGTAAATAATGCTGTGATGAACATAGGGGTACATATAGTCTTTCGAATTAAGTGGTTGGGGTTTCTTTGCATAAATTCCCTCAAATGGAATCACTGGATCATAAAACAGTTCCATTTCTAGTTTTTTACTTACCTTTTTAAATATATTTTTATTGACTTTAGAGAAGGGAGAGGAAAACATCAATGATAAGAATAATTGATTGGCTACCTCCTGCACCCCCACAGGAGAATGGAGCTGGCAATCTGGGCAAGTGCCCTCCCCAGGAATTGAACTGTGACCTCCTGTGGTTCATAGGTTGCCACTCAATCACTGAGCCACACCTGGCAGGGGTCATTTTTAATTTTTTAAGGTAACTCCATACTGTTTTCTACAGTGGCTGCACCAATCTGCAGTCCCACCAACAGTGCATAAGGATTCCCTTTTCTCCACATCCTCGCCAACACTTGTATGTTGACTTATTGATGACAGCCATTCCAACAGATGTGTGGTGATAGCTGATTGTGGTTTTAATTTGCACTTTTCTGATGATTACCGACGTTGAGCATCTTTTCATATGTCTATTGGCCACCAGTATGTCCTCTTTGGAGAACTGTCTAGTCAGGTCTTTTACCCATTTTTTAAAAAAAATATATTTTATTGATTTTTCACAGAGAGGAAGGGAGAGATATAGAGAGCCAGAAATGTCGATGAGAGAGAAACATCGACCAGTTGCCTCCTGCACACCCCCCACTGGGGATGTGCCCGCAACCAACGTACATGCACTTGAATGGAATCGAACCTGGACCTTTCAGTCCACAGACTGACGCTCTACCACTGAGCCAAACTGGTTTCGGCTCTTTTACCCATTTTTTAATTGGGCTGTTTATTGTTGTTTTTGGTGTTTAGTTTATAAGTTCTTTATAAATTTTGAATATTAATCCCTTCTCAGATGTATCATTGGTGAATATGTTCTTCCATTCAGTGGGTTGTCTTTTCATTTTGTTGATGGTTTCCTTTGCTGTGCTAAACTCTTTAGTTTGACATAGTCCAATTTGTTTATTTATTTTTTCTTTTCTTAATCTTTACCCAAGGACATTTTTTCATTTATTTTTTAGAGAGAGTGGAAAAGAGAGGGAAAGACAGAAAGAAATATCAATGTGAGAGAAACACATCAATTGGTTGCTTCCTGCATGAGCCCCTACCAGGGTTGGGGAGAAGCCTGCAACCAAGGTATGTGCCCCTAGACAAGAATCAAACCCGAGGCCCTTAGATCTGCTGGCTGATGCTCTATCCACTGAACCAAACCAGCGAGGGCCCATGTGTTTTTTCCTTTTGTTTTCCTTACCTCGGGAAATATATCAGAAAAATATATTGCTATGAGAAATGTCCCAGAATTTACTATGTTTTCTTTTAGGATTTTTATGGTTTCAAGCCTAATATTTACATCTTTAATCCATTTTGAGTTTATTCTTGTGTGCAGTATAAGAAGAAAAAACTAAAAGACATCCAAATTAGAAAGGAAAAAATAACTGTCATTATTTGAAAATGACATGGTACATTACATAGGAAACCCGAAAGACTCCACCAAAAACTTCTAGATTTATAAATGACTCAGAAAAATAGCAGGGTACAAAATTAACATCCAGAAATTGATGGAGCCAAAACCGGTTTGGCTCAGTGGTAGAGCGTTGGTCTGCGGACTGAAAGGTCCCAGGTTCGATTCCGGTCAAGGGCATGTACCTTGGTTGCGGGCACATCCCCAGTAGGGGGTGTGCAAGAGGTAGCTGGTTGATGTTTCTCTCTCATCGACGTTTCTAGCTCTCTATCCCTCTCTCCTACTCTCTGTAAAAAATCAACAAAATATATTTTTTTTAAAAAGAAAAAAGAAATTGATGGGATTTTTATACACTAATAATGAACTCTCAGAAATAAAACAAAACAAAAATCCCATTTACCAATACAACAACAAAAAGATATCTAGGAATAAACTTAACCAAGGAGGTAAAAGACCTGTACTGGGAAAACTATAGGATTGGACATTTAAAAAGAAACAGAAGGCAGAGACCTATTTGGCTCAGTGGATGGAGCGTCGGCTTGGGGTCCCAGGTTCGATTCCGGTCAAGGGCATGTACCTTGGTTGTGGGCACATCCCCAGTGGGGGGGAGGGGGGTGCAGGAGGCAGCTGATCGATGATTCTTTCTCATCGATGTTTCTAACTCTCTATCCCTCTCTCTTCCTCTCTATAAAAAATCAATAAAATATATTTTTTTTTAAAAAAGGTAACAAAAGATCCATCTGACAGCCTCCTTCAAACACTTAAGGGTCTTCATAAAACCCTGAAGTCTACTACTTTTCAAAATTTGGGTCTCTCATCACTGGCATTCCTTCCTGCAACCAATCTAAAGAAATTAATATAATGAACTTTTATAGTCCATCCTCAAAATTCACCAATGTCTTCCAATATTTATTACCCCCATTTCAAGCCTTTGATAAAGAGCTTTAAGGGACTTCATTGATCTAATTTATTTCATCCTAAAGATATTTCCTCCTGCAATAGATTACCCTGCCTAATCTCTACTTTAATCCCAATTTCTTGTTCATTTTTTCTGTACTCCCTCCAATGGAATAGCCTTGTCAAAATGAGGCCTTAATTAGCTTTCCTATTTCTGACTGAACTACTATACACTCTACATTTATCCTTCAAAGCTCAATGCCTTGAATTTCAATAGGGTTAAAGAAAAGACTCAGACTTTCAAGATTAAAGAGTCATCTATTTCCTTTATAGATGCCTGAATACATTCTTTCAGGTCAACTTTAAATGTAAAAAGATAATAAACTTGTCTCTTTCACTCACATAATACACTTACACATATACCTACACACACACACACACACACACACACACACCTGTTATCATTATCCACATACAAACTAAAATTTCAACACAGATAGCTTTAAAAGCTAGAACTGATTTTTATGGCATGCTTACTTGACAGCACACAGAACAAAACCGAACTCAACACACCCTTATGTTGGAAAATAGTGAGTTTAAGGATCACTAAATTAATAAATAGACTTAATAGGTTTTAAATTCACTGGAAATCATAGTATTATTATAAACCCTTTCATTAAAACCTTTTTCTAGCTTTCCATTGATCTTACCACCTGCAATTCTAAATCCATTTGGTTAACAACTAATCTAGATTTTAAATTAATATAGATTTTAAATACAAAAAGTAGCATCTGACTCACTCATACTTTAATGAATTAGTTTCTGCTAACTGTTTTTGTCCATAAGCATACCATGAAACAAATGATAGTGAAACCACTGGAGAAAGAAAAAAGGATATGAGGGAAATTTTCAACAAGCATTTTTGGAAAAGCCCAATTGGAACCCCACAAGGAGAGGTCTGTATTAATAGACCAGTGAAACAAAACAAGAGAGCAATCTATTAGGTCTAGTAATAATTAACGTCGTTTTCTAATACTTTTTTTAAAAATCGAATTTATTTAAACAATACAACAAAATTTAATCAACAATATAGTTGCCGTTGTTTTCTACTACTTGTGCCCAACACTCAGGAAGCATTTTAATCCCTCTGTTGTAAAATTCTTGTAATTTTGATGCAAAAAATTCGGTCAATGCATTTTTGAGGCATTCTTCATTATTAAATTTTTTTCCAAGAAGAAAGTTTTGCAAAGAATGAAACAAATGGTAATCGGAAGGGGCAATATCAGGAGAATATGCAGGTTGAGGGAGAACTTCCCATTCCAACTGGCGCAGTTTTTCAGCAGTGATTCTTGCAGTATGCGGTCGTGCGTTATCGTGGTGAAGAATTACGCCCTTCCGATTAATTAGCGCGGGTTCTTTTTCTCTTAAAGCTTGGGCTAACCTTTCCAATTGGGCACTATACACTGCACTTGTAATGGTTTGGTTAGATGGTAAAAGTTCATAATGAAGAATTCTTTTAAAATTCCACCAAACACACAACATCACTTTTTTCGCATGCAAGTCAGGTTTTGGCGTGGGCTGTGGAGCCTCATTTTTGTCCAACCATTGAGGCCGCCTTTTCAAATTAACATACAGCACCCATTTTTCATCTCCAGTAACAATTTGCTCTAAAAACGGCAAACGG